GGTGTCCTATTGCATTTTTATACTATTCTCAATTTACAACTGTATAAAAATTGGCTTAAAATGCATTTTTATTTTTCAGTCGCTTTTTCAAATCTATGCTTTATTCCATTTTGTAACGTCGTGCCATTATCAGTCGCATCAAATAACATGATTATATCAAGACAAACACATTTCCTTTCTTTATACGGAACGGATATCAGCTGTAAAATAAATATACAATTGGTTAGCTTGTTTGTGGTTTTTCGAATTTATTACATTGAATATCTGTTGCACGCTGTATTACTTTTAATTTGCTTTACTTTTTTGATTGATCTTCTCCTATTTGCTCTTGGCCTAACAAGTACGTTTGTCTGTTATTAGGGGAATGCCTGATAACTATATAATATACTTTAAAGTACTTTTCATTTATTGTGACATTTGAGAGAGTTTGCCTACTGGCTTTTAAAAATTAATTAAATCTAACTTACAACAATTTTTTAAATCTTGTTACTAGGAGCGTGAAATTAATAGCCATAAAAGATATGAATAAAGTAAGAAATCCACTTTCAAAAACCTAGATACAATCCAGTACGATAAAGTGCATAACAAAGTGATTATTTAATTTTTGAAGAATTTCAGAGCAATCCAAGAAAAAGTCATATAACAAAAGCGTAAAAATATTTTCAATTTGTCGTTAATGATCGACCGTATATTTTACTCGATTATACCTATTTCTAATGCACTGAAATTTTCTAATTCTCTAAGGTCAGTTCAGTTTTTTAGTAAATGCCTTTAGTTAATTAGTAACTAATAATAATTGGAAATCATACGATTTTATATATTTTAATTGATTGACTTTTCCATTTATATTTGTTAGCCCCATTTAGTTAATTAAAACATTGCATTTTATCATTTGGTACATTGATGGTGATTGGACAACTTTGTAAATGTTTCACTACATATAAATAAATTAATTTTCAACAACTTCAGTTTCATTATTTTTCTGCAGAATGATTTAATGTCTTGATGTCTCTAAATGTTGCAGATTTGCTGCTGCATTTTAAATCAATCTTCACCGCTGAGGACATTTTCGTAAGAAATTTATATTTTTACTCAAGGGTATATGCTCAAAGCTTGATATTAATTTTTTTTTAAATTGTAAGATATATATTTTTCGGTCCATCATAAGATTAATTTTTGAATATTCTATATGCACAGAACATTACTTGGCTTCTGTCATATCTGTAAAACAAAATATTTTATTTTCTATGTTAAAGTTGCTATTAGGAAATGCTCCTTTGTGCTTCTTTTCATTCCTTTCTAGTTAAGTTTATTCATTTCTCGTTTTTTATTTTATTTTAAGCTAAGCTTTGCCTTCCCACCTTTTCCAACCGCAATAGCACAACGTTTCTAGGGTTTTTCCCTAGAATAAAAATAATTCAGTAGTAATTCAGTAAACATTTTACATTTTTTCAATAATGTAAATATCCATCTACGCCTTAAAACGCAAATGTGTATATTTTTAATAAATAAGTTAGATGCTGCTATAGTTGCTTTATGGATTGCTTGGACTATTACTTACTTACTATAAATGGCATTTCCAGGTGGCACTTAACACTAATTCCTTGATTTCCTCGATCCGGATGTCCCGATCCCGGATAAAATTGCAGGGAGTGGTCAAGCAATAACCGGTTACATATTAGTCGAACTTGATGGTTTTTTTCTGGATATCAGCCAATGAAATTTGCGTGTTAGTTGCGCATAACCGGATAGGCGGTATGGAAACAATCCCAAACCCGCCTTCAACCTAATATGGAGTTTTACGAAAGAATCCAGAATTTATCGGTACCGTATAAAGAGTTTGTTTTCTTGAACTTTCAATTTTCTATGCTATTCAGTTGCGTCTAGGTATATAGAACAAAATGTGAGAAAAGTAAGTAAGTATTAATAACTAAGAAAAAGATGTAAAAAAGCTAATTTTTCCAGTTAAAACGTGAAAAATACAAGTAGAATAATTTTCTTGGGTTTCAATTTTTCTTAGATTCTCTACTAAAAATCATTTGTAAATCTGTTATCTTGTAAATTAATATAATTTGAAAAATTCATGCTTAATTATACCCAGGAGTTTATACTTATCGTTAGCAGGTCACACCGATTCCATCCCCTACTCCATGGCAAAACTACCCCTAAACAACTCTTAGCAACGTTATGTTCCCATAACATAATCATGTTATGACTGTTCAAACCTTGCATGATCTTTCTTTGTTCAGTATTTATTCAAAGGTGATTGTTTGTTCGCGTACGGCGTTAATTGAAGTCGAGAAGCCAATTGGAAAATGTTTGACTTTGTGATAATTAATTCTCAAATTTGATTAATTCGAACTTTTTCCGATTTTTTGGGAATAAAATTAATGAGGATTTAATTTTAAACATGAACGCGCCAAACTCAAGTTATATTTTTGGCGGGTTTAGTGGCGCCAACTCTTTATTGCCCTCAATGCCGGCATTTTCTGCTTACAACTTTCTGAGAAATTGCAACTATTTCCTTGAAACACCCAATCAAGGTATGTATAGAATTTTTATTAAGACAAAATTAGCTTTCTTTTATATGTGTGTTCTTCTTAGTAATGGATTTCGATCGGTAGTAGTTATATTGTACTAGAGATTAGTAGATCTCTGATTGTATAACAACGTTTGTTTGATTTTTAAATAGTTTGCAATTATTTTTTGTTGGCTGACCCTCTATATTCAAATTCTATGAAGATACAAACGAGAATTTATACCCCGAAAACGGAAAAAATATCGCACAATTTAATTGATAATAGCACAAAAAGTGTGAAATGTTTGAGAGTCTAATGGAATTAGATATTAATACAAAAAACGACCAACGCCTCAAAGTTTTAAAGTTTGTAATAGACTATTAATTAGAAAAATTTTCTCGGATTACGCAAAAAATAGATATAAACACAAATATAAAAGTGATAATGCAGTTTAGAAAATTTTCAAAAGAAATATTGGAAATTTCGATGAAAATAGATAACCAACTGATGAAGCGACAGTAAGTACAGACATGCAAAGACGAACGCGCAACAATACCAATTTGTGACTTAATTTTATTTTTCATTTCGGTCAGCATCTAAGATATTTAAAATATTTAGAGCTAGTCATATCCAGATTGTTATACATTTAAAAAATTATGTATTTTAACGTCCCATGAACTTATGTTTGTAAATTTTTATATATACTTTTACAAACTTTTTGAGTTGGTAAACACGGATAAAGCTTCAAGTCATTAAATTCTATTGAAGTAATAATTAGCAGATTGTGTTTTGTTATTTATGAGATTTAGAAAATATCAGATCATATTTATAATTATTATTCATATTATAACTATCAGGTAGTCGCTTTTAATCCACTGGAAAAAGAATAATTAAGCTTTTAACAATGGAATTTTTCCCCTTAGAACCCGTGTTGTATGGAATAAATATATCGTTTTAATTCAATTTAAATCAAATAATTTCATTATAAAGAAGCTACAAGGTTTCAGCAAACAAATACAGATTTTCTATGTGGAAAAGAAAAGTATCAGTACGCTGATTTCTGGCTTAAATATATTTTCGCTAAAGATTATTATAATTAAAATATATACATTTTTTTCACGAAAAACTAAGTTATTAGCTAATTTTCAAGCTATCTGTTTCCGTATCATCAAATTATATAATCCGAAGTTTAGTTCACAAATTGAGTTTGGCTCCAATGGCAGGTTTGTGTGCATGCAACGATCGTAATAGGGTTTTCGTGCAAATTTGCAAAACTTTATTTTATTGTGAAGCCAACTTTTATCAGCATAAAATATAACACAGTTTTGATTTTCTTATGACTGCATTAATTTGTTTCGGAATGAAACAATTTGTCGGGCAGAGATTAGGGTAATATGATAGTCACGCAAAAGCCAAACTTGTCTGCTTTCAAAATATGGCAGACGAAAACGACACGGAATTTGAGTAGGCCAAAAATAACTAAAAAATCACGTTTACCGAAAAATTGTTATCAGTTTGTGCAAACTTGAAGCCAAGGAAAGTCAAAGAAACTGGGGAAAATGGATCTGAAAATCCGTTAATGAAATTGTAAATATTTTACAACATTTCATTGTAGATTGTAAAATGTTTTTTTCGGTTTTAGAAAGCAACTTCAAAGCATTTAGGGAAGTGCCGAGTGAAAACACCAAAGAAGATAAATCAGACAACTTGTCCTTGTTCCCAAGTCGAGAAAATGAGCGAAGTTTTAGACATTTAATCCCCAAGCAAATATTTTCGCAGAACAATAATTTATTACCCTATCGACCTTTAGAGCTGCTTCATAGAGATTCTGTTGGTGAGCAACACTCTAATATTAGTACTGAAATTTTTTTAGACGATTTAAATTTATTTTTGTTGATTTGTAGCTGCTCGTTTATCATTGGACAGCGCCGTATCTCCGACTCTATCAAATGGTAACCTCAGGAAGCAAAGAAGCGAAAAAAGGCCGATACCTGAAGAACAAAAAGACGATAAATACTTTGAAAGGCGGAGACGAAATAATCAAGCGGCTAAAAAGTCGCGCGATGCTCGAAAAATCAGAGAGGACCAGGTAGATTCTTTTTTTATATAGATTTTTCCAATTAAATAGAAATTCTCACAATACTTATTAGAGATACAAAAAGGATTAATTTATTTTCGTATCTTGAAAAAATTTCTAAATTGGGTTCTCATTTCTACAAGATTTTCTGCCTCCTCAATACCAAATTCTCACTGAATAGAAGACATTTTCATTATATTTAGCACAATTTAGATTTTTTGTAAGTTTTTCAATTACCCACTGCATTCTACGTTATTTACCTATTGCTTGTGCTTTGTGTTTGATTTACTTTAATTTAGAAAGTAAACAAGTTAATTGCGTTTCAACAATATAATAAGCCCCAAAAAATGTTGCGATTGATAATATTCAAAATATCTTAAATTGAATTCGGAAATTACTTACACCAAATAGTATTCGTTCACGAAGAAAACGCTAAAAAATGCTTAACCTATTTTAAGATTTTCTCAATATGAAGCGAGAATAATAATCAAGTTGAAGAAAATTCTAAAAATATCAGTATGTAATTTATTAATGTGTGAATTTTGTATCATGTTCCAAATAGAATTTTGGTTTTTAAATTCGATTTCATAAAATTTAATTCAGCGATTTTTTGATGTTATATAACAATTACATATACAATTGTACATACACAATATATACAATTATACACTGCATACTTGAAGTAATAAATCTAACGTTTTTTGTCTTTCAGATTGCACTTAAAGCGACAATTCTAGAACATGAAAATGCTCTTTTACGGGCACAAGTGGTTACTTTACGAGAGGAAGCCTCTTCACTAAGACAGATGCTTTTGCAGAGAAAACCATTTGACCATCTACCACCTACATCCCACTCACCCCTGTGTGTTATAACGCAATAAACTACTAGCAATATAAATCAGATTACATTTTCTTATTTAAAATATTATGTTTTTATTGAAGAGTTAACTGAAAAAGTATATATGGAACGTGCAGGGAATAAGAAATAAGCAACAGGAAATTATCTTAGAATGTATTCGGCGTAAATTCAACATAGCAATCGTCTCTGAAACGAAAAGGAAACGACACGGAAATGAAACAGCAAAAAAGTTTACTATTTTTTGCACAGTTGGCAAATGTGAAAAAAGCAGGAATCTCAATAATTGTACACAAGAGACTGCAAAAATACAAAAGTCTGTGGGAAGCGATAAGCGAACGTATTATAAAATTGACGATACAAATGAGAGGAAGAAATATGAAAGAAAAAAACTCCAAATACTTTTGTCTTTGGGGTTTTTTCAAGTTACCAGTTTATGTGAACAAACCAACAACGATTGAAGCCTTAAAACATTAAATTCAATTCAAGTATCTCTGAAATAACGCAACATTCCTTAAAAATTTCATGAAAAGAGCACATCTGTGCCAGCAAAGCCGAATCGGAATTTATCCGATGTCTTATTCCATTCATAACCTCATGATGTGGACTTCATTTTTAAATAAATGTTTCAAACTTATGCCACAAATATATATATGTTTTATTTAAAATTTAAATTCGTTGTTTTTATCACGTTTTATATAACTGAAAAAGTTCACATCCTTCAATTTTTACAGAAATTGAATAGTTTCCAGTACTTACCTGAAAAAATTGGGACACTATACAGTGGATCAGCCCGGATAGTCTGTTCAATGAAAAATAAGTTGCATATTTTTATAATTTGAGGCAAAAATACAAAATTCTGATGCGAAAAAAGTTATATCTACTAATAAAAACACATAAATGGTGTAATGAAATTGTGTAGTTATGTGAGAAAAATGTAAATCCTTCTCTTCTTCTAGGCAAAGGAAAAATCTTAGAAATATTAAACTTGAGGTATCATAAAAGGAAATAATGTGTCTACAAAAGTTATACATCAAAAAAATATAGCCACTTGAGAAAGTTTATTTTTGCCAATTTCCAAAGCAAATAAGAATGATCGGTAAACTTAATTAATTTTGGTTTCGCGCAAGACTAATAAAAAACCAGATTATCTTATTAAAAGTTTTATTGTCCAATATTGCAACATTTAAATATTTGAATTACTAACATTAGCTTGCTATATTATATCTACAGGAGTATAAAAGAATATTTCAAGAACACCTTGCAAATTAATAGTAATCTCTTTGGAATATCAATAAAAAAATAATGTCTATTACATTAAATTAATTTAAAATCCGTACAACAAAATTAATATAACTTTTTAATTAAATATTTATGTATAATTACTATCAATCAAAACTAATTCTGTTGCCTCATGAATTGTACTTATATGCAGACAATGAACGCATTATAAGACTAGAATTTTGTATACAGAGTATCATCCATTTAGGAAATAGTTGTCCCAACATTACAGAACTAAAATATCCTTTTTTTACTACAGATGTAACTGAGAACCAAGGATGCGTCAAGCTTTCGAAACATGAACGAACACTTTCCTAAACTATACTCCCCATATGAAATTAGATGTTCTAAACTGAATCTAATATGGCATTTACACAAGACAAAATTTGTCAATTACTATTTACATTTTCAGTCTCATATTTTCCAGCTCCAACAAGAATTTACAGGATCCGATGAATCAAATATATAAATTCTAATCTGAATCATTTACTGCATGAGTCGAATCTCGCTATAATTCTAAATACTTAATTATAACTAAAAAATACCGTTTTTCTTTATAAGCAGTGTGAATCACTTACGTCCTACCAAAAATGGAATTTGAATGAAAAACAATGGGAGAGCTTTAATAAACTAAGGTGTATCATTTAATCAATCTCTTTCTACCAATTCCAGATTTAAGTACTTCTAGTAATTTCAACGGCTTCTTTGGGCGGTTTATAGACAACTTCATTATTACCGTTGAGGATCACTGGGGCTTCGTGCCCTTTTAAGTAGGTTTTATGCAGCACTAAATGTATAACACTGCAAAACACCCCGAGTGAGCTAAACACTTGCAAAGCGCTTTTTCCGCCAATGTATTTGTATAGGATTCCTCCGGTTATGCTACCAATTGCGTAACCTAAAAAGTATCACAGTTTTTAAGGGTTTATAGAATATACAGGATGTTTACAGCAAAATTGCGGCCAACTTAAGGTTGATACTTTCAACTTTACATATCCGCGGTCTGAAAAATACTTCTATCAATCTAATAGCCAAATCAAGACACATAATTTGTCTATTAATTATTTGAAGACACACAGCGGTAAACTTCTTCCTTAATTAGATTTATAGACAAAATCGACACTTTTTTATATGGGCGGGATTTCAACAAAAAAAATGTAGAATTCAGTAAAACCCACATTCAAATAAAAAGTATAAACAAATTTTCGGAAAGTGATCATATGCACTACGATTTATTTGAAAATTTACCAATTCCGTCATCCATTCCAGCAGCAATTCCCTGCATAGTGGCAGAAGCCCCAGGTGGGGCCAGTTCATTGGCGTAGGCAACTACCGTGGTGTAAGTTAGAGCATAAGTTGGGCCTTGGAAGCATAACTCAATCGGCAAAACCCACCAAGGATTTGGAGCCAGAGAGATTAGAGCGAGTCGTAGAGCATAATTTACAAAACACATACTGAAAGAGTGCACATGGCCGAACCTTTCCAGAATTTTGCCTGAAATTGAAAATTGTTTTTTACTTACTTGAGTTTTTAAAATACAGGCAACATTATTGCGGCCTATAAAACAATACAAACAGAAAGGTAATTTACCTGATATAGAGAAAAAGACAACTTCTCCTCCCAAAGTCTCAGCAGCAACGATTAGTCCTTCTAGCAGCTTTATATTGCCGGTGTTTGTTGCAGCTGCAAGATCCTCAACATACCAAAATAAGAAATAAATGATAAATCCGTCGAGAACTCCAACCAAGACAGTGAATACCATAAAAGTAACCACATGACGATTATTCATTAGAATCCTTAGTTCGGAAATAATGTTATGTGGAACTTCCATAATTGGGAGCTGAAACAAGGAAAAATAAATTTAAATAACAGATCAGAGCGAATTTGATTAGATGTGTGTAGAAATATAGCTAAAACCTACCTTTAATTTAATACAGCACAACAAATCACAAATTGAAAAAACTGCCATCACTATAATGGCTGGAATATAGGAAATTATTTGCCCGGAAAAGAGATTTACTATATAACCGGAAAGAAGGGCCGTAATCCCAAATCCTATGGTACCCCATACTCTTTGCTTCCCATAGTCATACTCTTCACCTGAGAAGAAATAAGAAACTGTTAAGGAAAACTCCAAAACGCGGGTCAAAATAGTTTTTATTTTCTTATTATATTTTATAATAGCTTTATTTTTTGTAAATCTCTTTGTATTTATTAAATTTGGCTAACGCAATTTTTTTTTTGAAAATACGATTGACGATTCAAAAGGAATCGAAAAATTATTAAATTTAGGGACTCTTATGGCCAATTTAACGTCGTCGGTGTTTGTAACTATTTTAAATTTAAAGTGTTTTATCAAACATTGCAAAATGTATTATACAGGGTGTTTGGTAAGTAGATGCATTCCTTGCAGGGGGTGATAGTGCAAGTAAATTTGGATATATTTTGTTAATAGACCAGGTTCCGAAAACCATTAGTTTCCAATCTACAGGGCGTTAAAGTTTTAATTTAAAAAAATGTTATTTATTAATATTTCGGCAACCCCTTGGAATATTACAATGAAATTTGACAGGCTTAGTCAGCTAAGAACAATACACGTTTTTTGATGAAAATGTTGTTTCTATCTTTTCCAGTGGCGTGGGTACAGGCACGTCTGTAGATAATTTTAAATAGAAAAATGTTACGTCACTGATTTTTCTAAAAATACATAATATTTTTCAAGTTTCTGTTCAATTTGGAAGGGAAAAGAAAGATTGAACGGGTACTTGAAAAATATTATTTACTTTTAGAAAAATCAGTGGCGTAACATTTTTTTATTTAAAATTATCCACAGACGTGCCTGTAGACACGCTACTGGAAAAGATAGAAACAACGTTTTTATCGCAAAACGTGTACTGTTCTTAGTTGCCTAAGCCTGTCAAATTTCATTGTAATAGTCCATGCAGTTTTCGAAATATTAATAAATAACATTTTTTTATTAAAACTTTAACACCCTGTAGATCGGAAAACCTTGTCTTTTAACGAAATATATCCAAAATTAATTGCACTATCACCCCCTGCAAGGATTGCAACTACTTACCAAACACCCTGTATTTTTAGAATGTTTCGATATTTTACATATTTACATATCTGAGAAAACCCTTTGAAGAACTTTTTGCATATGATCTTATTTTTTAATCGTGATTTTGAACTGTCCTTCATTTTTTTTTACCTCAATGCCAAGTTTGTTTTTTTAAAGATACTGTCTTCTATTTGTCAAAAAATATAATAATAATCTAATAGATCATTAAAAAAATATAATAATCCATTGCACAAAACTTACCAATTACATCAAAGCAAATGGCATCGCTAATCGAATTAGACACATTGAATCCAATAGTTCCTATAGACATGAGTATTAAGAAGCTCCAAAATGTGATGGATTGGTACACTTTAGTGTCCTCATATTCAACATTTTCCATGCATCTAATGTGACAACTACTGTTGCCGATCCATAACGAATATGAATTATTTTCAGATGAACAAAGCTTCATAACCGATGTTTCAGTGGAGTTTAGATAACCCTCGGTGCTACAAGATGTTAGGAAAAATTGATCTGCATGTTCAAAACAGTCCGAGTAGCATTGTACACTTTTGGTGTGATTAAGGCAGTTAATCTGTTCGAAATCCTGCAAAAAACATTAAATTTATTAGGAAACTGTTTACTTTTTTTAACGTTGTTTGAAGTACAAAATAAGTAAGATTTGAAACTTTAAATTGCGTACTTTCTTGTCTTGAATCTCTATTGAAAATGTACTGGGCTGCTAAAAAACTGTAATTAATAATTTTATAGTTCAGAGTGTCGATTGAAGAAGCGGAGCAGTTTTGATTCCACTTGGTCTGTTTAGACACGTTTAGGTTTAGGATTATATTAATTTCATTATAATATGTTATTGTTTCTTGAATTTTTTGTTACAGTTTCTCTTTTTGAAAACATTCATGTTCAAGAAATTTAGAAGCTTTTAACATTATTACTATCATTTATTTCATTTTCAAATAATCATATTATAGAGATTTTCAGTTGAAAGAATTTAATAAAACAGCAATTTCTGATGAATCACATAAGCAAAATGTAGTTTGATTCAAGGACTTTTTTAATAAACATGAGTACACTTTAGGAAAAGCTGAAATCTAATTTCAGCTTGACTTCCACACATCCTCAATATGCCCAACAGCTTATTAAAAAGTCCATAATACTAACTACTGACTATCAATTTACATGTATCCAAGTAATACTCTTGTACTGGACCTTCCAATATAGTGTGACTAATGACTTTGGGCACCGGTATGAACGCTATACCAGTAAAAGACAATGCCATCGTGAAAATAATCAGCATAAAAATGGTTTTCCTATAATTTCGGTAGAAGTCAACGAGTAGACCAAACAGGGGTTTAGCGATGAGGAACGATATGGGCAGAATTCCTGTAACAGTTCCCATAACTACTGTTGATATGCCCATTTCTTTCCCATAGACGGGCAGTTGGGGTAGAATAGGACCCATTGCTTGAAAAAAATGTAAACCGTGAGTTAGAAGAGAAATTATTTAATGCGCTTATAAAAGAACAGTAACTAATATATTCTTAGCGATAATGAAGCGAATTGTTAAATGCAATTGGTTGCAATTGAAACCAACGTAAAATTGTGCTGCATTTGATTGGTCACAGATCAATTCACAATAGTAATTTTTTTTCGAATAAATGTTTACTGTTTTAGTTTATAATTTTTTWAATGATTGATGTAAGCAATATTATGCAAGCAGTATTTAAACGGTTATTAGTAAATTAATCTCTAAACAATACACATAGACAACACTGAACTGGCTTGGGTTTCAATATAGTGTGCATCACGTCCCTAATATAATTGAGTTAGAGCGCTCAAAATTGAATAAAAATTCCTTGATAAAAACAGGAAATAATGCTTGATAGCTCTATTGCTAGATCTATTGCTAGTTATCGAAATATATTTTTTTAATCTAACAATAATTTAAATGAAAAATAGGTGAAAATATTTTATTACTTGAATTCTCAACTAACTCCCGTTTATTAAACTTTAATAGCGATAACTCACCTGCCATGAAAAAGAAGTAGTGAGCCTTAATAGGCAGCAAATACCTATTAATCTTCATTTTTGCTCGCAAAGGATTCCTGAAAGAAAAAGTGAGTGTCTTTAATTTTAGCATACATTTTTCTTTTTATTGTATTATTAAATTGGAAGCATTTCGTAACGAAAAAGTCAAACGTATATAAAACATCTACACATCATTTCTACCATCTTTACCCTTCTGATTAGAATTCAATGTTTTTTATGCCTTCATTTTTTGCTSTTATGATTTAAATTGACTTTTCGAGGGCAGAACCGAGGTTTGGCAGTAACCGTTTTATGTAAAAGGGATGAATTATAAAATAAAACTTGCAAATATAAAAAAGTATAACATAACATAGATTTTAAAATAGTAAAACAAATTAAAAATGTTGATGTTATACATAGAAGCACAATTTCATATATATAAGGAGAAACATTTATAGGTATGCGTTAGTAGTTAAGAACAGACATTATTCTGCAACTTTTAATCTGAGGTTCAAAATGGTCATTAACAAATTACTTTACATGTTTAATTACGTGTATAATGATAATTTTCTAATATAATTCTAATAGCTTGTGTTTGGATTTATTTCAAATGCTTTTATTAAGACAAAAATCTGAACCCAGTTCCCAGTTTAAAAGATGTTTGTTTTTCATGTTTTTCAACTTTATTTTCCATCAAAATAATTCCACACAGCAAGCAATATTTATTATTTTAAAGTATGTACTAATTATTTCAACCAAAGAACATGGATTCAATGTACGTTAGTAAAAAAGCGAAGAATTTAATTAAAAATTGTCGTTTTTACAAGTTTCGTAGTGTTTATGAATGCATAATTTTATTAAAAATATGAAAATTCTGGTTAATTAATAATTTTTCTATTTAAATGGAACCCAATGAGTAAACAAATGTATAGAAAATAGAAATGTTCGCGCTTCGCACTTTGCCCCGAAATTGGTCATTAATATTTGTCTCTTTTGTGTTGACAAATTACTCAAACCCTTTTTTTATATTATTTTATGTTTTATGTTAGCCCTACAAGTAATTTTGATTCTTGTGAAACCTATGGAAATTAATTTTCTTAGAGCATAATTTCTTCATGCAATTAACTGTATTTAAAAATAAGCCCAAGAATAGTTTGCCAAAATCTTTCAATTGAGACGACCTCTTAAAAATTGCATATTTTTGTTGTTGATGGACAAATGATGATTTCGACTTTATATTTAGTGGTTCGTTTTATATAGTATATTTTTCATTATTTGTTTTTCCGAATATTCTTTATGATGTCTTTTAATTGTGATATTTTTATTTTTATTTATATATTTGCTTGCTTGCTACGGAGAAAAGTGGATCTGAAATAGATCCAGTGTATTGCACTTAAAAAAGTGCTAAAATCGAAGATTATTGAGAATGGAAGTTCTATAAATAGTTTTCTGAAATGCACGTTTGTGACAATATACTAGGCTACATCTTTAAAAAAGAGCAAAACAAAAAAAACGAGATTAAATAAACGTTTGAAAAAACTAAAAAATCGTGTTAATTGTTGAATGAGCCAAACACTAAAGCAGTAAATCGCTGTCCATTAACTAGCAACACTGCTTTTCTTTAAAATCCCTATTTATAGCAACATTCCGTTGGCATCCGTTTAAAGAGGCAATAAAATTGAAGCAAATTGCCGGGTTCTGTCCTGCTTAAAAAATTAAAATTAATCAAGAGTGATGAGAGTAAAATTAAAAC